GGCCCCATCGGACCGTGAGTCCCTTGCGCACGCTCGCCTAATTGCATTCCTACCCTTAAGACTCCCCCACTTTTCCCAAAAATCCTTGGCACACCTCTTTTCGCACTTCCAGGCCCATACCCCACTCCGATCAGGAAGTCGCGTTGGGCGTGAGGTTGGGCGTCACATGGGTGTCCTGGATATGAGACCACCTCCCATCCCATCCTCACGTCAATACTCCTAGCCCACCCCCTATCCCACTATCCTACCTCAGTGTGACCAGCACCCTGGACCATTACCCTACCAATGGGCAGACAACTTGGACCGAACAGCAGTGATAGGCACCAAGGCTGATAGGTTGTCCAGCCCTGGTGGAAGCGGAAGCGGACAAGCCTTATCGAATGGGAACTTTGGACGCCAGGCCCAGACAATCTACCACAGGCCCAAAGAGACTTTGGGCCCTAGGTTCAGGCAGGGTAGCACCCATTGAAGCAGTCTTACCGTCCTTCCCCTAGCTTACCCAAGGCCAGGTGGAACTCAGACTGGCCTGTGCAACCCCTGCCCTTACCCTAGGGTTCAAGCCTCATATAGCCACCGGACAGTTCTATCTGAATAACAGTAGGAACTCCGGCGGCCCTTACCTGTACCTACTGCAGATACTAGCCCCCCCCAAGTCTGATAGTTGTGTAGTTTGCAATCTATGTGTATACCCGAAGGCTATGCATGCTCCGTGTGTCTATGTATCAAGATGTACAGACAGCACCATGTGTGAAACTTGTGTATGTAGCCCATAGGCCATGTATAATTCGCAAGCTATGTATATGCCCGAAGGTTGTGTGTGCTCTGTGAATCAATGTATCCAGATGTATAGGCAACATCATGTGTGTATATCAAAGAGAGAACGGGGTAAGTTGGACAAGGACCCCCCCAAGGTCCGAACCAAGCTCGAACCCGTGACCTTGTAACATGTAATCGAATGACTCTACCATGTGAACGCCTAGCGGAAATGGCACGAACATGTGATATGCCAGACTGGGGAGATCAATAGGACACCCAAGACCAACACCCCCAAGCAACCCATGTGAAACCCATAACCAACATACAACACCAAGAACAACACCATGAACAACCCTTGGGTGGTGCAAATACTACAAAGGCAGCATCTGTGATAGTACCATGTGTCAGCCTAAAGCCATGTGTCAATCTGATGCCCTGTTAGTGTCCATGCGGAAGGTTGCAATTGAGTTTTGAACCCGCAACCTCATACCACAATGCACATTTCCAACCGGTGCTCTAACCACAGAGCCACATCAACTGGACTGCCACAATGCACATTTCAAACAGGTGCACTCTCTTTTTTATCTTTTCTAGCCAATGAGCGTTTGCTCCATGGCCACCGAATATCTCAGTCACATTTCTTGATCTCTTTCCCTACATAAAAGCATCAGTCCGCCATCGTCGCTAAAGTACCTTGCGCGTCCACCATCACCAATTCTTCTGGCTGGAAGTCTGCAGTGTGCTCGGAGCTCGACTCTTCAACGCGCTGCCTTTTCGGCTTAGGGAT